ACTTATTTTACTCAGCATAATGTCCTCTAAGTTCATCCATATTATGCAGTGTTTTGCAGACTCTACATTATTCTTAAGTGCTGCATAGCATTCCATTATGTGTATGTACCATGGTTTGGTCATCACTCATCTGCTATAAATCTTAGAGATGAGTCCTTTGCCAGATATGTAATTTTTCATTTATTTTGTCATTTTGTTCTTGTATTGTCTTTTGAAATTGTTCTAGGGTTTTCTCTGTGTTTTCCTTGATCTGTCTCTAAATTCGTTGAAGATACCTAAATTATAATTCTTTTGAGTTCCTTATCAAGGAGTTTCAATACTGCATCTTCTTCACAGATGTGTTTTGGGTCCGTATATTGATTCCTTGTTTCTCCTGCTTTATTTTGCTTCTTTGTGTGGACTGTGATGCTCTGTTGTCTCTGAGGCATTGTGACATTTTTATGTTTATATTTAATTGGTGATTGCATGTTGGAGTGACTTGCCCATGATTTTCGTTTTCTTTGTATATTATCTATGCAAGCAGGGTACTGTGCTGTGTTCCTCTATTTGCTAGAAGGCAGCACTTATATACTCACCATCTATCTACTTTCCTGTTGTCAGCCTCTTGTATGTCCCTGCCGCCCTTGGCAAACAAAGCCTATTCCTGGGTCCCTGGAATCTGAATGAGGATGCTCGATTTTCATTTTCTTTGTTTTGTTTGTATGTTATCTATGCAAGCAGGGTACTGTGCTCCTCTATTCGCTAGTTAACAGCACTTGTACACTCACCACCTATCTCCTTTCCTGTTGTCAGCCTCTCGTATATCCCTGCCGACCTTGGCAAACAGAGCCCATTCTTAGGTTCCTGGAATCTGAATGAGAATGCTATCATTTTAAAATTCAAAATGGTTGCCACTTGTAAACATTCAAAATGGCTGCACTGTCGGTCACTTTAAATATCCAAAATGGCTGCCATGTGTAAACAATCAAAATGGCTGCACCCTCTGGACAGCGGAAAGTCAACAGTTCAGGTTGCCTCCCTCCTTGCTGTTTCCCTTCCTAGTCATAGGCCACCAGCACAGTTGTCCCTGCAGCCCTTGGTGACTAGGGTTGCTCTTTAGGTAAATTCTCAGGTCCCAACACCACTTGGAAATATTCAGGCTGTTGGTCCCATCAGATTAGCTGATGGTCTTCAGCTCCAACCATCTCTGTACTCAGTTTTTGTTCAGGTTTTTCTACTAGTTGGTGCCTAATCCACTTCTGCATAGTTCTTTTCAAAGCTCAGGGCTCCAGGATTGCCTTCTGTATCTCTATCAATTGTTTTTTCTTTTCTTTATTGAAGAAGGTCTGTGTCGCTTGTCTGCCTATTCCACCATCTTATCGGATGGATGATATTCTTGATGTCATCCCACAGTTCTTCTGGTTTTTGGTCTTTGGTGTTCAATGCACCAAATCTATTCTTTAGATGGTCTCTAAATTCAGGAGGGATATATTCAAGATCATATTTTGGCTCTCGTGGACTTTTTTTAATTGCCTTTAACTTCAGGTTGAACTTACATATGAGCGGTTGATGGTCTGTTTCACAGTCAGCTCCTGGTCTGGTTTTGGCTGAAGATACTGAGTTTTCCATTGTCTCTTGTCACAGATTTAGTCAATCTGATTCCTGTGTATTCCATCTTGTGAAGCCCATGTGTACAGCTGCCATTTGTGTTGTTGAAAATATGTATTTGAATGAACAAGTTGTTGGTCTTACAAAATTCTATCATGCGATTTCTAGCATCATTTGTGTGACCAAGGCCAACTTTTCCAACTACTGGTGATTCTTCTTTGTTTCCAACTTTTGCATTCCAGTCACCAGTGATAAATAACACATCTTGATTGCATATTCGGTCAACTTCAGACTGCAGAAGCTGCAGAAGGGGTGACCCTGATAGGATTTTTAAATACTGGTGGTGTAACTTCCAGTATCATAACAACATGCAAGCCATCACAGTGTGACAAATTGACAGACAAGTAGTGAGGATAATGCACAGGCAGTGCTTTTCTTGTTCACAGGATTTTGTTTTCCCTTTCTTCCTCACTGACCTGTGATCCCTGTAGGTACGTTGTTGCTGTCCTTGAGGGCTTCCTTGGGGAAGCTTGCACTTCAGTTTCCACCTCCAGAGGACGCAATGGGAACAGGTCTTGGTAATCTTTAAACCTGCCAATGAAGACCAAGAATATTAAAGAGTGTAAAAGGTTAGCACGTGAAAGATACCAGTCAGAGCAAAGCTGTGTCAGCTTGGAGGAAGTAGAAATGTAAAAAAGGAGCCCTGTTGGCACAATGGTTAAGCACTTAGCTACTAACTGTAAGGTTGGTGGTTCGAACTCACCAGAGTCAGCAGGTAAAAGTTATGGAGTCTGCTTCCACAAAGATTAAAAAAACCAAACCCATTGCCACTGAGTTAATTCCAACCCTAGTGACCTTATAGGATAGATTAGAATTGCCACACAGAGTTTCCAGGCCTGTAATCTTGATGGAAGCAGACTGCCACATCTTCCTCCCACAGAGCAGCTGGTGCATTTGAACTTCCCCGAACTTTCAGTTAGCTGAGTGTTTAACCACTGCACCACCAGGGCTCCTTGTAAAGATTTCAGCCTTGGGAATGATATGGGGGGCAGTTCCTCTGTCATAGAGGGTCGCTATAAGTTGGAACAACTCAACAACAATGGATTAGAAATGTGAAGAGTAGTGAGATAAAAAAATACTCTTCTTACCCTTTCAGTCCTTTGCCTATGTCAGCCTATCCTTCCTGATGAATACTGTGTTTTTCCTTTTTACGGCAAATCAACAGAAATATGTGTGTACATGTGTGGGTAGGTAGAGGTTTCAATGTAAGTTTGGTTTTGTCTTTTGCTAGGAGGCTCTGACACTGGACTCTGATACTTCTTGATCAATGTGGTTTTCAGAAGCCAGTGAGCAGCTGCAGAAAGAGGCAGGGTCATCACTGAGTATACTCACCACTTTTCTTCCAGAGATTTCATGACATAGCCCTGGACCGTTAACAATGTGGTTGTGCTGACTTGACGCATGTGAGAGATTTCTTTGATGATAGGAGCATTGCACTGCAGCAATTCTTCTAAAAAATTGCAAGAGAGAAAAAGAAAATCATCCTCTTGCCTACCATTTCTGAGGTAGCTAGGGTTTCATCTTAGAACCTCACTGTCTCAGTGAATCTCAGTGAACACCCCCACCCCACCGTAACAACAATTTGAAAATCTCAAAAAGCACATTTGGAAAGTTAGGTGCAAGTGTATTTGTAAAACAAATATTTGTTTACATCCCTGTGTCCCCTTAAGCACAACCAATGAATGCTTAAGTGGAAAGATATTTTTAAAGGACTCTTTTCTGTAGCTTGTTTGATATTTTCTTTTTAGTGGGTGGTAGGAAATAAAGAGCAAGCAGAAGAGTGAAAGAAAAGTTAAGTTGCTGGAGCAGGTGGAGAATTGAAGATTACAAATCAATTCAGTAAGAGCAGCATGATTCTCCAAGCGTTCAGAGGTAGCTGTGGGAAATAATAAGACTTGAAAACTTAGCAGGAATTGGATCTGATACTTCTCTTTCTCTTGTATCTTATTCAAAATTATGTACAAGACTCAACATCCTGGGCTCAACGAGTCAATATTTTTTACAAATCAAGATATGCCAATTTTACCTCTTTTTTCTATTTTCATAAAATTTATAATGTTATCTTGGTTTACCACAGCAAAAAAATACAAATTAATAAACACACAAAAACTATTCTCCCTTCCCATCTATTCCAAACTGGAGGTTGAAGTCTCCTTGCTGTTGCCATAGATTTAGTTACTTCTGGGGTGGTATCACACTCCCCCGTTTTTTCTCTCTAGAATTATTTGCAAGATAAATGTAAATGGGCCAAATTTACCCTCCCACCCTAGGCAACTAGAAAACAAGACAACATTTATGAAACAAAGATTTTCAAGCAGACAGATCTCCTTCTCAGTGCAACTCTATTCACAACCCATGCATGGTGCGTACTCGAACTTTGCCTTTGTATCTAACTGCAGCCTAGTTGATTTGAGGGTCAAAATACTTGAGTTTGAATTTAAATCCCACCAATTGGACAAGTTATTTCCCTTCTCTGTGTGTCGTCTTTCTTATTGGTAAAATGAACCTATCTATCCCTACATTCCAATGTTATTTTAAGGATTAAATATAGTCTAAAGAGAATAATTGTACATATAAAATGGTTGAATTTTTTTTAGATGTATTTCACCACAGTAAAATTTTTGCAAATATTTAAATGATAAGACACATGTACAGGTGTCTTGCCCTTGGCTTCTTTTACTAGTGTTATTAGTTTGGATTTATTGTTGTTTTTCTCTTCCTTCACTGTTCTGTTTAATCTTTGTTTCTCAATTCTATCCCACATGGCTGTGCACTGTTCTGCTTACTCACAGTGCTCACATAAAACAGGCTCTTTCTTAAACTGTTCTCCTAAGGCCCTGAGGAAAGAAGGCAATGGCGAAGGGGGTGCATACCAGCAGAGACTCTGCCATGGAAAAAAGTCCGGATTACATTTTCAAGGAGAGACTTGTAAAGCTTTTCATTGGTCTCAACACTGATCTTCTGGATGGCTAACAAGAATTGCAATGGGCTGTCAGCCTTCCGTTCTCTGAGGAACTCCTTGAAGTAGTCCAAGTGGTGTGTATTTAGGAGGACTTCTGTCAAATTTCTGGCAAACAAAAAACATCATTTGTGGAGAGAGAAGGATGGTGACCCTGGATTCTGTAGTGATTAGGAAATGAAGAAGGGCATCTCCCAAACCACAGGGTCAATAGTCATGGGTGAAGGGCATAGTGATGAGTAAGTTAAATTGCCTGTTTCCTTAGAGATAAACTTGAACCTTTATATGCCCTTCCTAAACTTGGTTTAATCATTTGACAGCATCAGTGGAAAACAGTGTGGGGATATGTTTTAAAAAGGATAATTTTTTCTTTTTCTTTCAGGGAAACGCTCTTTCTTACATTATGGATATAAAACAACCCCTCATTGGTAGCCATTTCTGTGAGGCCAAACATGGCTGATATGAGAGTGATTGACCAATATTTCCAAATTTCCACTACTATATTCTTCTTTCATGGCTCCTTAAATATGTTATTGTTGTTAGATGTGTAGAGTCAATTTTTGACTCATTAGCAACCCCACATGACAGAGTGGAACTGCCCCACAGGCTTTTCTAGGCCGTGCTCTTTATAGGAGCAGATCATCAGATCTCACATAGCCTCTGGGTGAGTTCAAACTGCCAACCTTTCATTAACAGTTGAGGTTAACCATTGTGCCACCAGGGCTCCTTTCCTTAAATATAGGTGCTCCTAAAGTTGCAGCCTCCATCCTGTCTCTTTTTGCCTATGGTTTTTCTTTGGGTAACCTCTGCCTCCTCTGTGATTCCAATTTTCATTGATATGAGGAAGGCTGGTGAAACTCTATCTAGTTCTGAATCTCTCCCCTGAGCTCCATTTCCAAGTTTCAACTCCTTTTTTAGGTCATCAGGAGCTCAGGTGGTGTAGTGGTTAAGGCATTTGGTTGCTAACCAAAAGGTCGGTGATTCAAACCCACCAGCTACTCCACAGAAGACAGATGGAGCAGTCTGCTTCTGTAAAGAGTTATATCCTTGGAAACCTAATGGGGGTCACTATGAGTAGGAATGGGAGCTCTGGTAGCGTAGTGCCTAAGGCAGTTGACTGCTAACCAGAAGGCTGACGCTTCAAACCCACCAGCCACACCTTGGATGGAAGATGGGGCAATCTACTTCCACAGTGATACTGCCTTGGAAACCCAAGGAGTGGTTGCTATGAGTCGGATCCAACTCAATGGCAGTGAGTCTGGTTTTTGATTTATGAGTTGGAATTGATTTGATGGTAGTGAGTTTGGTTTGGGGATCTTTAGGTCATAGTTATTATTTACATCTCTCCACCCATTCTTACAATTGACCGACTTGTTCTTTCTCATTTATTTACCTATTTCAGAGAATGGTGTTACCATCAGTTTAATTTCCTGACATGAAAACCAGAATATTTAATTTTTCCTTTTCCAGTTACTACCAACTCACATATCTAAGTGTCATTAAGTTCAATTGATTCTATCTTTTCAATTTTTGAAAAAAATCACTTTATTGAGGTATAATAAATTCACTTGTTTTAAGTGTACACTTGATGAGCTTAAGTTAATTTATCAAATTGTACAACTATCACCATATCCTAGTTTTAGCACATTTTCATCAACCTAATGAGAGACTTTTTGCCTATTTACAGTTAATCCCTGTTCTCAACCCCAGCCTCAGACACCTAATAATCAATTTTCTGTTTCCATAGATTTGCCTTTTCTAGATACTTCATATAAATGGATTTGTAAAATATGTAGTTTCTTCTGTCTGATTTTTTTTGTTTGTTTTTACTTAGCAGAATGTTTTTGCAGTTCATACCTGTTTACCATTTATCAGTTTTTTCTTTTTATTGCTGAAATATTTCATTGTATGGACATAATACATTTTGTTTATCCACTTACCATCTGAGTTGTTTTCCATTTTTTTTTCAATTATGAATAATGCTACTGTAAACATTTGCATGCAAGTCTTTGTGCGAATACAAGTTTCCATTACTCTTGGGTAGATTCTTAGAGGTGGAATTGAGGTTTTCTGTGGCAAATTTATGTTTACCTTTTTTTAAAAAAAGAAACTTCCAAATTGTTTTACAAAGTGACTACATTATTTTACATTCCCACCAGCTATGTATGAGGTTTCTCCACATTCTCAGTGACATTCGTCATTGTTGGTCTTTTTTTATTGTAGACATTTGGTAGGTGTGAAGAGGTATCTCATTGTGGTTTTAATTTACATTTCCCTAATGACTAATGATATTGAGTATTTTTTCATATGAATAATAGCCATGTGTATATCTTATTTGGTAAAATGTCTATTCAAATCATTTGTCCATTTCTAAATTAAGCTATTAATATTTATTATTGAGCTTTAAGAGTTCTTTATATATTCTGGATACAAATACTTTTAGATATTTTAAAGTATCTTCCCCCAGTCTATATTAGCTAAGAAATCTTTGCCTAACCTAAGGTCACAAATATTTTTTTCCTATATTTTTATCCAAAACTTACATCAGTTCAGCTCTTTAGGTTTTTAATCCATTTTGAGTTAATTTTTGTGTTTGATGTGTGTTAAGCCAGAGTAAACTCAAGCCACCAACATTTCAGTTGGCAGCTTCCTCCAGGTGTCAGGCCCCGATGAGACAGCCTGATAAGACAACCGAGGTGGCCGAACCTGCCGAGGCTGGAAAGCCCCATGTGATGATAAACTTCCTCCTGTGAAGCCCCCTCATGCTAATTAGGTGCAGACCCATGCCAACAACATTGGACCACACCATTTCCTTAGTGTCCCCACTTAGGTCCTCTACAAGACTATAAACCCTACCCTCCCCAGCCAGGCGTAGCAACTTCTTTTTTTTTTT